GTCCAATTATTTCTTAATTGGACAGCATGGAGTCCTATTACATATACTTATTATTGAACACTTTGAATGGCGTCCACCAAAACTCTATTATGTCTGATTTTTTTTTAAACGATGTCGCGCGCGTGATTGAGAAGCGCTGAAAACCATTTATTAATATTTAATTTTCAAAGCTTTTATCAGGCTAAGTGTCCAACTTTAGAAAAGTAGGCCTTTAATTTTTTTGGCCAGGACCACGCCCAAATTCTTTATCTAAGGGGTTTTATTAATTTTTTTCGGCGATTATTCTCGCCCGTTCTTACGTGGAGTACATCCTTCCTCTCTCCTTCCCCTCCCCCCGGGCCGAAAGGGTGTCGCATCGTACCGGTCTGGGGACTTTTTCTCACGGACATAAAACTATTTTGTTGTTTGCGGGTACAACGTTTGTCTTAGAAAAAGATTAAAGTTTGAAAGTGTTTGGTTTTCTATGTATAATGAATGTTATTAGTGATGGGCATGTCATCATTAATCGGGTGATTACCTGCGATCGCGTGCGGTACAGACGAAAAGGCCTGGGTGCCAATCACATCAACAGTAAAACCTGCATAACATGGCGACCATAGAGAAGAGGGAGACGAGCGATGACACTGAAAGCGCTGATGAAGTCGAAAAACGACGAGGAATACTGAAAAACAGAACAGAAGATAAACACCAGTAAGTAAAAATGTACCTAATGTTTCTTGTTTATGTAAAAATATTGTGGTTTTGAGCTCAGGAACTCGAGTAATGTCAAGTTTAGCCGAGTTTATTTGCAAACTCCAGAGGAAGAGAAAACTTCTGAGCTTCAATTATCTTCCTATAATCATTTTCACATCTCATATATTACCTRCAGTAAGAGTTTTAAAAATAATATCTTTTTGTTTTAGAAACTATATTCTTGGTGAAAACAAGCGCTTTTTGTCGAGGGAGTTAGTTTTGTGTTTTGGCTAATTAGGATCGAGAATAATCAAATAATAATATATCCATATCCCTTACATGCTTCAAGACTTGTAAGGTAATTTCCTTGATAAACATTTCAAACTACTAGTGGTGAATTAAATTAACTTATTTTGCTGTGCAATTGACTGATTATGAATTCCTCTTTTCCTTCACTGAATTTTTTCTTGTTTCACGAAAAATAAATGTACAAATGAATTATATATTTTGCACAGCCGAGAGCTCAACATTAAAAATACAATAGATGGACATTGGATCCATAGTTGTGGGGTAAACCCTGATCACCGTTATGTAAAAGGTACATATTCGCTATTATACAATTCCTTCATTTTCTGGGCTATGCCCAGTAATTAGTGTAATGTTGAAAATTTTTTGAAAGTTCAAACCATGAAAATACTTCAATTTTTTCTGCAGTCGTGTTTAGACCAGATGTCGCGTGTACTATAGTTCTTGTTTTTTGTCGTAGTTATTCTTTTTGTTTTATAATGATTGATCCATTTTATAATGATTGATCTATTTTATAAGAATTGATCCATTTTATAGGGATTGATCCATTTTTCAAAATGCTTTAGATCATAAATTTACGAGTGGTATTTTCATGTAAAACATGCCTCCATGTAATAATGCATAGTTGCCATTATATAATTCTGGCAAACAGTGGAGCCTTAACTATCTATGAATAGCAAAATGAAAACAAAWTCCCACTCAGCAAATCTGTGCAACAATATTTACGGTTTATTGTCAATATTGCAAGATTTATTCCTAGATTTATTTCATGTTAAAAGTTATTTTTGTTGAAAAGTGTTACAATGTCAAACCATTAATTGGCATGCTGTAATATGCACTTTTGGACTTGCTTTGATTTTTAAGTTCTTCTGACGTGAAAACAGCAGTTTTTTCTTCGTCTAGGAAGCAATTAAGATAATATCTAATGATATGGAATTCTGCCAGGAATTCCTTGGGCCACAAGCCTTGAAAGACTTCAGAATTTGTGAACTCAAGGGGGATAGGAGAGTCAATGCCGCCTGTGGTAAGGGTATCAATATCTTCTGGAACTACCAATGTGTAGGTCCAGAAATTATCCATACTCTCCAAATAGGTATTTTTTACAGACCCCCCTACCCCCTAAGTTCCATGCCTTTCCTTTTATGCATAGAAAAATGCACAGTGCAAAACAATGGAATTTTTACCTTAATTACATGTTTGTTAATTACAGTGCGACTACTCCAACCAAAGCCACTTCGACAAATTTTCTACAAATTGTCCAATAGTGTTTGAGTATTTAGATAATAAGAAAAATTGAAAAGAAATTACAGCGGGTCCAAAAATGTGCTGCAAGTTTTGTCATCAATCGTTATGCAGATCTTTCTGATGTAATCAAATTAGGATGGCTACCTGTTAAGGAAAGAACTGAACTCCATCTATTAAGAGCAACTCACAAATCAATGCATGACATTCACTGGCCAAGTTATTTAACTTTGCAGAAATGTGAAAACATCAGAACACTGCACTCAAATGCCACACAACAACTTGTTGTGCCTATCCATGTAACAGGAACATTCCAAGACAAACCTGCAAACCTGTATTCAATAGTCTTCCTAAAGAAATTAGACTTAGTTCCAACATAAGTTCATTTCTAAAAAAACACTTCTAAGTTTCTAAGAACGAAAGCGCAGTCTAGGTTAGATTCTTTATGATTTCATGTCATTCCATTTGTTTTTCTCTTTTTTTTCTTTTTTAAAGTTTGTAGGGGGTGGGTGGGTGGACATAGGTTATAAATTATATTGTGTTATTTATCTTTTTATAATAATAATAATTATTATTTTTAAATATGTATATATATATATATATATACTCGATTGCAGAAACGTTATAGTATACATTTATACAAATATCTAATTTATTCAGTATATTTAATGATATGCAAAACAGAAAAATCGCTTTATCTATTGTTTGTTTCATTCAATGACTGTCAAAATATTTTTTCTTGTCCATTAGATCGTACAGATTATAAATTATTTGGTTTTAAGCGTTGAAAATGGTTATTTTGYATTATGCATCTCATTAGATATTTGTATAAATGTATAAATGCATACTACAATGTTTCTGCAATCGAGTGTATATATATGATGGTTTGTAGGGGGTTGGTGGGTCGATATAGGTTAGAAATTACATTGTGTGGAGGTTGTCGGTGGGGCTGGAATTGGAGAGAGAGCAGTAGATCTAGTTTTGTCTATTTGCTATTGTTAGAAACATAGAATCGAGGCTCCTCTGTCTTTGATTATTTGCATGTTAATTCTGATTTGCCACATTATGTTTACTCAATTACGTCACAAGCTATGCCACGTGTAATACCGACAGGAAATGTTAGCTTCGTTCCCAGTTTTTAGTTTAGTTAGTTGAATCGTCCACGAAAGAGTTACCCCCTGGCCCTTTAGAGTGCAAGCGAGAACAGATGTGTAAGTACAGTGATTAGCTTCACACCTTGTCTAAGCCTTAGCCTCGGGCATAATAGCCTTTTAGTTACTTTACAAGACCCGTCTATGGTTTGTACCGTGTTTAGTCAAGCACATGGCAAYGCCCTGAGATTTCTATTGCTTAGTAAGCATTCAATTTACRAAGCCAGGCCTATATCTGTATTTATACACTTAAATCTGTACCTTTAAGTCTAAAGCCTTTATTGATCTCATTATCGCTAGTACGTTTTCATGTGGCTTGGAGTGGCAAACCCTAGGGCATAGCCAAAGTCGCATCATTTATATTAGTATTCATAAGAGTTTATAGTAGTTATTTGATTGCTATGTTATCATAAAAACTATATAAGTATCATTCTACTTCACCTTTAGTTTCTTAATTTTTTAGAGTTTGTCATACCAAAACTATGATCGGAACGCAAGTGAATTGTGGCCCATTGTCCGTGACAATGTATTCTGGAATTCCAAATGTGGCGAACAACTTACGTAGCTGTAGTAGGGTAGCTTGGGCTGTAGTGGAACCCATAGGTAAAACCTCCAACCACYTGGAGTAGGAGTCTACAACTATTAGGAACATGCGACCCATAAACGGGCCAGTGAAGTCCAGGTGTAACCTTTTCCAAGGACCTGACGGCCAGTTCCATGCAGCTACAGGAGGGCTGGTCGGCTTTGGAGCATTTTCTTGACAGCAGGGGCATTGTTTTGTAATCTCTTCAATAGCRGTGTCTAGCTTTGGCCACCAGAAATGCTGCCTGGCCAGGGCTTTCATCCTAACTGTTCCCATGTGTGCCTCATGAAGGTCAAGTAGTAGGTTAGGTCTGAGTACAGGGGGTATGATCACTCTGTTAGACCACAACAAGCATCCTTGCTCGACAGATAATTCATCCTTCTTTGTGAAGAAAGGTCTCAATTCCTCATTTGGACAGCAGTTAGGCCATCCTTCTTTGGTCAGCTGCAGTACCTTGGAGAGGCATGGGTCACTGCTTGTTTCTATGGCAACAATTCTGGAAGTAAGTGGTATTCCACTCAGTGCATTAATGTCTATTGACATTACCTCCTCATGCTTCATTTCATGCTCAGTGGGTGTCTCCTGAATAGGAGATCTAGATAGTCAGCACAAACATTCTCTTTGGATGCAATGTACTTAACTTGGTAACTGTAAGCGGACAGGATAATGGCCCATCTCTTTATTCTAGCTGCAGCAAGTTGTGGGATTCCACTGTGTTCACCAAACAATTTGACCAGTGGTTGGTGATCCGTGAGCAAGGTGAAGGTTAGGTACTGGCAAAATTTCTGCACTCCAAAAATAATACCCAGGGCTCCCCGCTCTATTTGTGCATAGTTTCTTTCAGTGGGCGTGAGGCTCCTAGAGGCAAAAACAACGGGTTTTTAGGTCTCCACCTGTGTTCTTTGTTGAAGGACTGCGCCCACCCCTGTTGACGACGCGTCACAGGCTAGCACTAGTTCAGCATTTTGATCATAGTGAGCTAACAACGCATGTTCAGACATCTCCTCCTTTATCCTTCTGAAAGTAGATTCATGGTAACTTCCCCATTTCCATTTCACATCCTTTTTCAGCAGGTCATACAATGGGGCCAGGCTACTAGCTAGGTTTGGCAGGAACCTTGCATAGTAGTTGACAAGGCCAATAAATGACCTGAGTTCATTCATATTGGTTGGCCTAGGTGCCTCCTTAATGGCTTTTACCTTAGATCCTGTAGGTTGAATTCCAGCAGATGATACTTTATAGCACCATGTAGACCGTCACTCCAGGCAGTCCTTTCATGATATTTTCCATAGCACATTGGAAAATACCAACAGCAGAATTAATACCATATGGTAGGCAGAGGTACTCGTAGAGGCCACAGTGTGTGTTAATGGTTGTCAATTTCTTAGTAGCATCATCTAAGGCTATTTGGTGGTATGCCTCAGATACGTCCAGCTTTGTAAACTTCTGTCCCCCAGCTAGGCTAGCAAAAATCTCCTCCACCAAAGGCAAAGAATATCTATCCATCTTAGCTGACTTGTTTACTGTGGACTTGTAGTCACCACAGAGCCGTATAGCTCCAGAAGGTTTCACCACTGGTACCACTGGTGCAGCCCAGTCAGAGTGCTGCACCTTTCTGATCACTCCATCTTTCTCCAGTCTGTTGAGCTTCCTCCTCAACTATCTTTTTCATGGCAAAAGGTAAAGCTCTGGACTTGCAAAATACAGGTTGTGCACTCTCTTCTAATTCGATATGTGCCTCAAAGTCCTTTAGGCACCCAACTCCTGGTTTAAACAATTCTTCTTGTAGCAGCTTTGATAATTGTTGCGGCTCAGGCTCAGGGTTTAGGACCGAAAAGATGTTTTCCCAAGGTAGTCTCAGCTTCAACAACCAGTTTCTTCCAAGAAGTGGAGGACCTTGATCATCAACAATGACAAGTGGCAGGTTAGCATATTGGTTTCCAATTTTAACTGAGACTAACCTTTCGCCGYGAACTCCAATAGGATTACCTGTGTATGAGCGTAACTTGGAACTGGAAGGCATAAGGTGAGCATCATATAAGTACTTCTTAAAATCGTCATAATTCATTAGGGACACCCTGGCTCCTGTGTCTAGTTGGAAACTAACAGGCATATCATTGAGTGTTACTTCAACACGGATTGGGGATCCATCTTGTGGCGAATCTATGTGGTACAAAGGCTTGTAATTCTCAACTGGTTCATTGTCGGAATTTTCGGGACTCTCTTGTGTATTCACAAGATTTGTCTGCACTCCAGCTGCCTTTGGATATTTTGACAGGCAAACTCTCTCCAAATGCCCTTTCTTTTTACAATAGTTGCATGTTATATGAGCTGGCAGTTGGCATTTCTGTGCCAAGTGGTCCTTTGAACCACACTTGAAGCATTTCTTTTGATTTCCTTTCTCGGAAACGGTCGTGGGCTTATCTCTGGCCTTATCTTTCTTGTTCTGTACTCTGTTTACTGAAAGGCTAGGTCTGAGGCTGTCTTGCAATGCTGTGGCCTCCTCAGCTGCGGTTTCTTGTGCAATGGTTGTAGGCTTTGGCGAAAGTGAGGTCAGACTCCACGAGTAGTCGGTTTTGAATTTTCTCGTTCTTAATTCCACACACGAGTCGGTCTCTCAGCATATCATGTAGACTATCACCAAAATTGCAAGATTCGGCGGTTTTCCTCAGGTCAGCTACGTAATCGGCTATTTTCTCTCCTTCTCTTCGTACACGTGAATGAAATTTGTACCTTTGTACTGTCTYGGATTTTGTCGGTGCTACCAACTCTTCATACGTTTTCTCGGCTGGTTTGCTAGGAGAAATTATGTTTCGTAGGGCTGAGTATGTCGCAGGGCCAATAATACTTAGGAAAATAGCACCTCTTTTCCTTAAACGGGCTTCAACGTCTGCCTCGTTTGAACCATCTCCATTCAGGGTTAATTCGCCCAGGTCATTTGCCTCAAAATACTGCTCCAGTCTCTCTACGTATTCTTCAAATTCCACTTCTTGTCCATTAAACTGCTCTATTTTTCCAAAAGACGCCATGATCCCATCCTCGTYGCCAATTGTTATGTCTTGAAAGGTTTTTAATGAAAGCTCATTCAGAATAGGTTTTACAAGTCGGACAAACTAACTCTAAAAGTCCCCAAAACAAACGTGTCTGACGTCACAGATAAAGTCCCGTATGTGACAACCGGAAGTGGCTGTTGCTAGGCAGGTTCTAGTCTAATATATGACAATAGGTAACTGTCCAATTATTTTCTTAATATTTATTGGACATTTATTTTACCATCGT